TTCCTCCTCGTGCCTGTGTTTTTCTTTCCCTGTGCATTTGTCTTTTTCTAGCAGGTTCCCTTTTTCTTTGCTATGTTGAGTGAATGCCCACTTGCTCAGAAGCCAGCTTACGTCTCTTCTTCCTATAAGTTGTCCACACTTTTCACTCCCCCCCAAAGTAGAATAGAAAATTTTGATATATTTTCATCTATATTTATTCATATTTATTTATAAAATTTTTATTTTTAATGATGTTGACATAGTTGATTAGGGTGGGAAGGATCAAGGGTTATGGAAAAGTGATTGAGACCATTGTTTCCAAATTTTCTCTTTCTTTTTGTATCAGGGGGAAGGGAGGAGACAAAGGGAGAAATCGCACTCAGCGTTCCAACCTTCTCAGTACCTAGGGATGGGGAACAGCCACCTGATATCATCCCAGAGTCCCTGATTTGAAGCATCCTCCTAGGATTTACCTAAGTGGTTTCAATAGTTCTGAAATGCTGTCAGTCTCGTCAATCCAAGGATGAGGAATTCCTTCCAAGGTTCATTGGCTGATATGCTCTCCCTTAGTGTATATTTGCTCAGATATTTGCTGTCAACACTTGGCTGAGGTAGTTTGTTCTGATCCTCTTCTATGATAGCAGATGTCCTCTGCAGGCCCCAATTGATGGCGATATTCTCCATGTGCATCTGGGCCAACTGTCCTCTGCTCTATCTTATCCACTGTGGAGGCCCACTTCTGACACATGCACTCTTTGGTCAGTCTACAGATCCTGTGATTTTCCCTGTGGTTAGAGTTTTGAGTCCAGCATTCCATTAGGGGAATCTCCAAAGAAACCTTGTTTGAACTGATTCTTAGACCTGATTCTTCTATACTTGCCCATATGGGATCTGGCTCCACCTGTTACTCTAATCAGCTTACACACACTATTAGTTGCAGTTATTGGGTCAGTTCTGTTTCCAACCCTGTCTCTTATGAAAACCAAATGAAGGCTGTGGTCCAGTCCTTCCCTGCCCATCACACTCATCCCTCATGAACACCAGCAGGAGTTCCAGCCTAGTTGGAGCAACCTCCCAATACCCTCACTAGACCTGTCCCCAGCCCTGGTCCTTGTGCCTGCTACTATGTGCAAAAGACAGATCTAGCCCATCCTACATCCCATTCAGTTGTACACATCAATGGGCTTTGAAGCCTACCTCAATTTAGCCAACCCCACTATACAGCCAACGGTCATGCTAGTAGGTGCTAGCTAGCACCTGTCTAGCAAGGCCTACCCCCTAGCCCTGGTTCTCATGCACACTGATGGGAGTTGCAACCCATCAGAGATGTGTGCAGAGTTTCCCTATTGGATCCACTTCCAGTCCTGGATGTTTCACTCTCCAGATGGTTCTGCAATCTAGCTTCACAGGATTTCCCCCTAGTCCCAGTATTTGCTGACTGATGCAGCAAAGCCCAATCAACCTGCACTTACTCTGGCTCATGCATTCACCAGTGGATATAGTTGCTTAACCCTGCCTGTGTACCCCCCAACACAGTTCACATGCAAGCCAACAGGTATTGTAACCCTGCCTGGACTGATCTGTCCCTGGCCCCATTTCTCATGTTCGCCAGTGGGAGCAGAGTCCCAGCAGGACAGCCTATGCTGCCCCCTTGCCGGGCTCATACGCCACCCTCCACTCTACCCTGGGTCACATGTATACTGTTGGGAGCTGCAGCCCAGTCTAGCATGGCCCACCTCACCATAGCATTTAATGGCAGGTGCTATAGTTTGGCTTGGCCCAGTTTAAAGCTAACTCTAGCTCATGCTGGTGGGGCCACTCTGCCAAGCCCATTCCCCCAAATCCCATGAGTATGTCATGGGGCAGCCCGTAGGCTTTGCCCAACATAGGTGCCTTGGGTCACCTGACTTGGGGCTCACTGGCACAGTTCTCACAGTGCATGAGGGTCAAATGACCCAGTCCAAATGACCCGTGTTGTACCCAGCCCTCTTTGGGGTTCACCAGCTTGACTGATTTATTTATTTTTTTAATGCAGGTACTTTCACATGACTGAGTTGTCCTTATTTCTTTATGTGTCAGTCATGAGAAAGACTGTAACTTATTATATAGCCTCACTGTATTTATTCCTGAATCTCCTAGCAAATGTTAAGCATGTAGTGAAGCCTGGTGAGATAAACTGAAAATCTTCTTAAAAGAAGCAGTAAAGCAAAGTCATACCACGTGATAAAGTAGATGTACCTAAAGCAAGACTCATAGAACCTTTTCATGCCTCAACAGAGTACAGCTATAGAGACAGCAGTTCAGAGCAGGAAGTAGAGAGTGCCTTTAATTATACTCTTATTTACAAATAACTTACAATTATCTGTTTTACTCTCTGCTCAATTTGTAGCCTGTTGGTCTTATCTGGTGCCTGTCATTAGCTGACATGGTGTTCATAGGCATTAATACACTGAATATTAGTTTTGGGCAACTAGAACTACTCTGCTTTCTACCAGCTGTTGTTCACAGAGCAGCATGTACATGGATATAGAGAGCTGTGATCCAGGGGCAGGATCACTGGACTTGAAGGCTGAAAACAAGCACTCAGCTCACAATCTTGTTATCTCACATTGAGAAAAAACCTTTATTATATTGGAAGTTTAGTTTCCTCATATATAAAGCAAGGCGTATAATTCCAGCTTTGTAGGCTCTGTGAGGAACAGAAGAAAAATGACCACAAAAGCAGTTTTTCACTTAAAAGTAAAGTACCATAATTCTGAAGCTTATGTAAAAATGAGAAAATGTGTAAAAAAAAGGCTTTCTCAGCTGCATATTTTTTCTTTGGTTTGATTTGTTACTGTTTTGCTATTTCTTTGCATCCTGAACTTAGTTTATGTAAACAAATGAAAATGGAACAATTAAGCTTTGGCATTAATGTGATTTATACTCAATATAGCATATTCAAATGAAATTGTGATTCCATTTTTTTAAATGAACGATTCAACATGATATAGTAATAGAGAAATAACAGTTAAAAGACAGTTGTTTCTTGTCATGAGCTTTCATTATCATAAGAAAATCAAAACAACGCAGAAACAGGCAATTTATGAAAATGAACAACACTGCACAGACATGGAATTCTTTGATTTTCTGCTTATTTTGTTCATAATTAAAAAATATGACATTTAAGATTTCATATTTGGTACAACTACATTCATATATTTGAAAGTGATTCTAATAAACATTTTTTTAAATTCAGGCTTTCAAAGATTGCATTTTGAATCAAGCAAGGTACCGAAGGTATTATTTTTCTTGTATTAACTCCATCTCTGCTCCTTTGTTTTCAGAAGATTTATTTTTACTGGAAAGGCAGATTTACAGATAAAATGAGAGACAGAGAGAAAGATTTTCCTATACTGGTTCACTCTCCAAGTGGCCCCAATGGCCAGAGCTGAGCTGATCTGAAGCCAGGAGTTTCTGAGTCTCCTACAGGAGTGCAGATCCCAAGGCTTTGGGCCAACCTCTACTGCTTTTCCAAGCCACAAGCAGGGAGCTGAATGGAAAATGGAGCAGCTGGTATGTGAACAAGCACCAATGTGGGATCCTGGCAGATGCTGAGGATTAATCACTAAAGGAGCTAAATCCTGTGCCAGTCTCATTTCTGCTGTTTTTAAGAAAAATGTTCATTTATTTTATTGGAAAGGCAGAGTAGCAGAGGGGAAGAGGTTAAAGGCATCTACAGAAAGAGATGATCCATCTTCTGGTTCATTGCTCAGATTACTGCAGTCAGGAGAGCTGAGCAAGTATGGAGCTGGGAGCCTGGAATTTCCTCCGAGTCTTCTACATGGATGGCAGAAACTCAAAAGGTTGTGACATCCTAAACTGCTATCCCATTCAGCAGGTAGCACAAAAGAAGTTTAGCAGGTGGAAACTGAGCTGGTGTCCCAATGTGGAATGTTGACATTGCATTCAATGGCTTAACCTACTGAGCCATGTCTCTGGTCTTTATTGCCAATACTACCTTATACTTATTTTACAGTTTGAGAAATGAAGCCCTATCTGGTTGAAGGAGACATGCCAGTTTTCAGAGGACAAAGCAAGATTATAGCTTGATGTCTTCTCATATGCACAATTCATTTTAACATATGAGGACTCTTCAGAAATTTCATGAAAATTCATATTATGAAAAAAAACGATGCATCTATTTTTGCATCAAAAACTAATCTTTTGATTCTGTTTTCTATGAACATTTGATGCTCCTTTAGATGTAACGTAATTATTCCTTTTTTATACTATATCTGGATGAAAGGAAGTCTTTTTCAACACTTACACTAGAGCTCTTTGGATGTGGATGTTGAGTGAGTGATAATATGTATCTAGGAGAGGACCAAGTACATTGGATGAAAGGAGATCCCAATAACCTGGAACAGCGGTGTGCACCTGTCACAAGGGAGCTTACCAGATACAAAGTCAGCACTTACAGTACAAAAACCAGTGGCAAGGTACATGAAGTGGGGCAATATGCCGAATATAGTTTATTTTTGTCAAAAGTGATTTCTTAAAGGGATAACATTCATTTAATTTTATTCGTGTCCTCTTTCGAAATTAACCCAATTATACCTCATTGCCAGCATTGTATTTGTTGCAACAAAGACACTGACTCCAGCCTACTCTATCCACCTACAATTAACAGTCTGACACTGGCAGACTAAGGCAAGCAGAAGGAAAAGACCAGGAGGATACACTGACTCAGCCCAGAACAAAGTACTTTAAATATCACAAAATAATTGGATATGCCACTCACTTGTTAGGTAAAGTCATCAGAGATTTTTATTAGATTTCAGAGCTGTCTTGTTGAAGGATTGTTTAAACAGACAGACATGGGAAGGCATCTAATACTACTGCCAATACTGCATGGTATGCCAAAAATACTTTTATTCAAAATATTTGATGCCTTATAAATCATAGTTTCATATATTGCAAGAATTGTATCTGGTGTAAGAAATGCAACCAGTGCGTATAATAAGGCAAGGCTTGTTTACCTGTAAAGAGCAGAAAGAGGCCTCTTGTTTCCGGGTTTCGGTCTGTATGGTTTGGGTTCCCCTGCCATGTTGATATCTGAAAAGATAAAATAAAATAGTGGTGATTAAGAAAATACTGATTCATTTAAAAAAAAGAGTGGATCATAGAGTATTATATTCCCTAGAATATGTTCTTCTCCCATATAGACAAGTAAGTTAGCAGGTTTTGAGTATAAAATATATTGTGTTTAAAAAGAGAAAATATACATTCAGCAATCAGTATGTGACAGGTTGATTTTAGAATTCATACAACAGTATTAAAACTAGCCATAGCCATGATAAACTTAGTAAAACAAAAACAGTTTGTAAAGGTGCCTTATCAAGATTTTACAGCTCTGATAATTACACCCATAACTTGGTAGTACAACAGAAAATCAACAAATTGCTGTACGTATACAAACACATACCCATACATGATAAATCTGTATATTGCACAAAGGAGATACATCGGCACTTGGATTATAAAGCTAACCTAACAGATAAGTAATTTAAAAAACAGATTTTTAAATGCAGGGCATAGTAGCAATCCATTATCCAAAGGACACATACGAAATTGGACCTTTACCTTGTATATCTACCTTTACATTATACAAAAATTTCTGTTGACTAAATATTAAGGACATATTTGGCAACCTTAAGGAACAATAAACTAAAATATCTTTATGGTGTCAAGATATGAAAAGGTAATGTAACATCAGACATAAAAATTAGTAGCTTAAAACAAATGATTGATAAAGTCCACTACATTAAACTTTGAAACAGTCTGTTTATCAAAAGTCATGTGAGTGCTGAAAGGAACCATGAACTGTGAAAAAAAAAAAAAACAACTTGGCTACAGATTTGTTTGATGATATTAGGAAAAAAAACCTCATAGATATCATAAAAGTCCCACAGTATTAAACAAAAGAATTAAGTAACATCCAGCAAAGATACTTTGCAAAGATTAATGATGAAGGAACATAAAAGTATGCTCAGTATCATTAATAATATAAAATGCAAGCAAAAATGCCCTGAGATACAATTGAAACCCATTGAATTTATAAAAATTTACAAAGTTTCACAATATCAATTGTTGCTGCTTTTTAAAACTCATTTTAAAGGAATATCATTCATGAACTTCATATAGAGTTTTTAAAACGAAAGCATGCTTCTCATCCTTATTTTTCCTTCAGTTTTTACAATGACATACTTTCAGTTTACTTTATAAATCCCCTCCCCCCCACTAAACAATATTTCTACAAGTAGTACATAGGAAAATCATTGTTCCTCAAGAGTTTCTCCTGTGTTGTCAGTGAGCCCTGAAGACAGCTCTCTGCCAAGGGGAACTTTAGCCCAGGTAAGCCCATCCTACCTACACACATAGGTGGGGTTTTGGAGGAAATAGAATGTTTGCACATTACCGATGTTACTCTAAATTAGTGAAATGATTTTGGAAAGCACTTTTACCATTTCTAAAAAAGTTAAAACATTAAAAACATATGCGCCTAAAGAAACAGTTGTGTGTTGTAAGACATGTTTTTTTTTTTTTGTAATAACTTTGCATTGAGAATCCTTCTCTTAAGATTTATTTTAAATTCTTATTGTAAAAGTTAGATATACAGAGAGGAGGAGAGACAGACAGGAAGATCTTCCATTCGAGGTTCTCTCCCCAAGTGGCTACCACAGCTACAGCTGAGCCAATTTGAAGCCAAGAGCCAGATGCCTCTTCTGGGTCTCCCACGTGGATGCAGAGTCCTAAAGCTTTGGGCCGTCCTCGACTCCTTTCCCAGGCCCCAAGCAAGAAGCTGGATGGGAAGTGGGGCTGCCAGGAAAATATTCTTTAAAAAAAAATCTGTTGGCAGGTAATAACAGAAAAAAAATTGTGATATTTTTACAGAAAGACATATTATAAAGGAGACAGAGAGAGAGGTAGCCAGTTTTGGACAACACTGTTGATGGTTAACTTTAGGATCACAGAACAAAAACAGAATGAATCATTTATACAAATGAAATTGCATAATTAAACACTGTAAATATAAGGATAAGAAAACATATGATAAAAATAGTGAAAACAGAGATAATGAATTTGATATGCAATTTCCTCCAAAAGGGTAGAAAAGGAAGTAAATTTGGAGTGGTACTTTTAACAAATAACCATAATAAACTATGGTTTAAACTGGATAGGGTAGCATGGAAATGCATTATAATATGAGTCGATATAATTTAAAAATTTGTTAAGTTTTATTTTAAATGACTGATAGATGATGAATTTTAAAAAATGAGAATAAAAATGGCAAGTAATTTACTGATGAAAGTTCATGTCAGAAGCAGTGGCTTTGGACCACATGTTGTTTTTGCAGGGATTGTGAGCTGGTAGAGTGAGAATGAAGAAAAGGTGGGGAAGATTATTGAGTGTTAAGAGCATCATTAGAAACTGCAATTGGAACTTCATGTCTGACCCAAGTGTGATTTAATTAGGATTCTAAAGAAGACAGGCCTGAGGGTGAATCAAAAAGACATTAGTTCTAGTGTGATTTGGAATAAAGCATAGTCAAACTCAAGACTAACTGAATATGACAATGTAACAAAGTTGGACAAGAGTGTCAATGAGTGTCAATGAGGGGAAGGCATTTAGTGTAGGTACACTTGAGACACACTGTACCCCAGGTCAGCATGCCACTCGCATGAGAGATCTTGAGTGTAAATTCAGGGCTCCTGGCTCTGAGCACAGGGCAGGCACTGTGGGCACTTGGGGAGTCAAGTAGCACATGGCAGAGCTTTTTCGCTTTCTGTATGTGTGTGTGTGTGTGTGTGTGTGTGTGTGTGTGTGTGTGTGTGTGTGTGTGTGTGTCTTTCTGGGTGTCTGCCTTTCATATATTTTTTAACACAGAAACAAATACAAATTCTTACTATATATTATGATGGTGATACAGAGTGCCTGTCTGTGAAAATATCATATCAACTCTGTATTTCTAACAGACTTCTGATCTATAAAATGGAAATAGAAAAGTGATTATTATAAACAAATAAAATCCATGAGACTTACCTCCACTGACAAAAATATTGTAGTAGGCATTTCTTTTACCACATAATGTCAGTGATTCTGACGATACATGTAAAAAGTTCACAGCATGTTTATACTATTGAAAGCACTTCATAGTATTTTCCAAACTATTCGATTTTATTTTCTTTTATTTGGAGAACAGAAAAGGGGAAAGAGAGAGGTCTTTCATCTGCTGGTTTACTCCCAACATATCTACAATGGCTGAGGCTGGATCCGGCAGAAGCCAGGAGGGAAGGGAGCTGTTCCAGCTGCCGAACTATCAATGCCTGGGGACGGGGCTGCCTACTTGATATCATCTTAGAAATCCTGATGTGGACAAGAATGTTCTGAGGGTATTGCTTGAGTGATTTTGATAGTTCAGAAATGCTGTTCGTTTCGCCGCTCCAAGGTGGAGAAAATCCTTAGGCTCATTGTACAATTAAGGTGGGGAGGTCTAACATTGAAATCATAAAGTAATGGCAAAGAACAGGACATGTAATTATTTCAATTTTTTTTTAAGATTTTTGTTTAGTATTAGCAGGTCAGATACACAGAGAGGAAGATCTTCCATCAGCTGATTCACTCCCTAAGCGGCCACATTGGCTATAGCTGAGTCCATCCGAAGCCAGGAATTCAGAGCCTCTTCTGGGTCTCCCACGCAGGTGTAAGGTCCCAAGGCTTTGGGCCATTCTTGACTGCTTTCCCAGGCCACAAGCAGGGAGCTGGATAAGAAGTGGAGCTGCCAGGATTAGAACCAGCACTTATATGGGATCCCAGCACATTCAACTGGAGGACTTTAGCTGCTAGGCTATCACACCATGAGGCCCAGTGGCTTTAATTTTATCACTACAAATCATAAACCTAATTTGAAATGTCAGACTGCATGCCATAAATATAATAGCGGTGAATAAAAATATATGAAAAATTATTCAAATGTCTAGTTAATGTTTCTAACAGCTTAGAGAGGTACCCATGTGTCAGTCTGGTGGGCCATGCTAACCTGCTGTTGGGCTCATTCTCTTGTGTCAAAGGTTGATACAACGAGGTAAGCATTGCTTTAAAGAAATCTGTTGATGAAGCCTCTTTTTGCCAGGATTCTCTAGATCCATACGATGTGTCTCTTTGGAGGACCTTTCCCATTCCACCACTACCCATTTCCAGCCATGGGGGAAAAGGGGGCGAGAACTAAAGCTTTCTTTGTTGCTAGGAAGAGGCATCCAAAGGAACACTTACCCGTATCATGTCATACTCCAGTCAACACCTACTGCAGGCATGTAGAACAGACTCATCTATATTTTAAGTTTTCAATATTTCAAATTAGCATGAAAACATGTAAGAATACTATCATTTTTGCTCCAAAATGATTCTTCGAGTATTATACTTCATAAATTGATATATTTTTTTCTGTTGAGCTACTTAACTGTATTTTTTACAGCAAGTAAGCTTCTTAAGTATTTAGCCAGTTATCATTTCTTTTTGATTTTAAAGTTAAGTAAGTTGATGCCATTATTCCATGACATGAACAACTATAAAATTACAGAACTAGAAAAAGTCAATGAGCTGAACATGTTCTTGCTTGAGGCAAATGAAATATGGCAAATGATCTAAGGACTCTCTTCTACAATGTTACCCCCAGAATGGTGACCAGTGCATGCAAATATATTTATTAGACCTATCCCGAAAGAATACTACTAAAGCTGATAGTAACACCATGATATTATTCCACGTTTTTTAACTCCTCGCAAGACACTTCTGTGCTTTGTGCCTGTTTATTATGGCAGTCAAATTTCAGTGTCTGTGTCCTTTGACTCAACATTCAAATGGTAGCCATTGTTTTCCTCAGGATCATGTGTCCTTCAGCAAACAGCCAGTATTGTTTCCTGTTATAAGATCAATGAGTAATAGACTCATTAGCTCATTAAAGTTATGCAGCCTGCAATGCATATCCTTGAATGGATTCCAGGGGATCTAGGAAAATGCATTTTGTAAACACAATTCCTAAAGTGATTTTATTT